TCCATTCAGGCCTTATTGTGGCCTGCCTCGTCAGCCCCAAGGTGGGCTTGTGCTGACTCTGCTAGCGGGGATCTCCCTTGTGACACCTTCATGAAGAAGCAAAGGTTCTGCTAGTGTGAGGTGAAGCAGCCAGCGAAGGAGCAACGCCTGTGCTGCATGAATCACCCTCACCTTTCGGAGGAGGAACCCATCCATCCCCCACATCCTGCCTGTGACATGAGGCGAGATAAAATATGCTGGGGAGGCATGACCTGGCCTATGGCCCGGCTGTCTGACCACAGCAACCACACTCTTTCCTTATAAACAGGACACTGTTCCTTCTGGGTATCTGTGATTTGCTAATTCAGCCTTATTCAGCTCACTAGGCTTTTTTTTTTAAATGAATTTTCCAAAATCAATGCAGTGGCTGTGGAATGCTATTGGAAAGCACCGCGTTTCCTGCAGTTTTGGTAAAACATGGAGAAATTTGAAGTTGCACTGCCGCCTGAGGCAGGTTTTTCAGACACCTGGAAAGGTATTATTAGCCTGGTTCTTCAGGAGACTTCAGAGCTGTGCTCATCTCCTGAGACTGAAACTCACCAGCACTTTACATCATGGGTCATGAGAGTGACATCACCACCATCACATCAGGCACTTACAGGGGGAACAGAGGAAGCAGGTGATAGCTGAGGTAAATCTGCTCTAGCAGAGCATCTAGAGAGCAGACTTAAGTGGCCCTGAAGGGGATTTTCTTTCTGCTCTCTAGCTAAAGTAACCACCATTAACCTCCTCACTATTCATTTTTCGCCTTCATTAACACCAGTGTAGTATTCTCTCTATACCAAGGGAGGACTAAAAATTACTCACCATGTTAGTTACTTGGGCATGGTTATAAATATGCCACAAATAACCACTACAAGATTGTCTGCTGTCTTGCTGTGCTCAAGTATTTTGCATTCTCTCTGTCATGCTCTCAAGGCTGCTCACCCTCACCTGAACAAGGTCTTGGTTACTGCTGTTCCTTGCTTTTGCCACATGGCAGATTACAAGCACAGATTAAGAAAACAGTCAAGATCCTCTAGCCCAACCACTAGCCCATCACTCCCACGTCCTCTAACTACATCCCTCTGTGCCACATCCACATGTTTCTTGAACAGCTTCAGGGACGGTGACTCCCCCACCTCACTGTCTTTGTCATAAATCTTCTTATACTCCTTTTGCAGTGTCCACTCATTAAATACTAGCAGCCAAGGCACCTGGCTTTAAAGCCATACTGGTACAATACGAGCTGAGTTTTCAGTTTTCCAGTCAAAACTCTGCTCAGCCAGAAAGGCTCGTCAGCTACTTTACAAGACATAACTTAGCTTTCTTTGCTCCTGTGCTCTCTCTGAAAAGCAAACACTACATTAAAGCAGGCAGAGCATACGTGTGCAATGATATCTTGGGATAGGGCAAGAATTTATAGTCTTTAAATGACAGAAAGATCCAGGTGAAGCCAAGAGCCTGCTTTCTGGCGCCAGGGATGATGAAGCAGCAGTGTGGAGCTCGTGGGAATGATGTGACACCTTGATCCTTGGGCGTCCTTGAAAACAGCCCTGAGTGATGTTTGCCTCCAGTCGATTTTCCTAATAAATATGCCTACCAGTCCTGTCACCCATAAGACCACAGCTTCATGGAGTAGAAGTTCTGTTCCCCAAATTTAAGATGACACATATTCTTTGTGGGGACCATGACAATAGCAGTTGTAGGAGATGCAGTTCTTTCAGAATTTCCAGTTGTTTTACAACTTTCAGATTAAAAAGGGGGCAGAGTTGACCCATTTCTCTGCCAGCTCTTCCCTCCAGAAGTAGATGCTGATCTTTCTTTGGACTTTGCCTCCAAATGAGAAAGGTAACCAGAAGTCATCAGATAAGAAACTGGACACAACAAAATAGTCAAACAAACCTGAAGGACTTTGATAATAAACACACAAGGAGTTAAGACACTTTCACATGGATTTCTATGCTTCAGCATGTAGGAAATCCTGTGGCAGGGATTTCATTTAGAAGAAAAAAAATGCACCATTGAGATCTTTCTAACAACTTCCACCCACTCTCCCTGAGCCTTTCCATCCCACAGGCAGATCACAAGCTGCAGAGGGGTGATCCTTTGGGCACCACACAGGACAAGTGTAGGAGTGCCCTTGATGACAATATAAAATAAACAGAGATAAGAGCAGCAAAACACGAGCGAGCAAATGAGAATGTACTCTGATGACCAGAAAAATTCTGGCTTTCTTCCTAGAAAAGCTGTGGTACCACCTGAACTACAGAGGCCTCCCAGAGTAGAGAACAACATCCACACTGGCTAAATAAATTGAGTAAGAACATCATCATGACAAAACCAAAGATATCCAGATAGGCACAATTAGAAGACCTAGTGTAAGATCGATGTGCTCCCAGCAGTGTAAAAGGACATATAAGTAAACTGAAAAGCAGTTTAGCCAATGTAACTTATTAGTTTAAACACACTCAGTTGAATCCCTTTGCCAAGATGCCCCTTCTGGAAAACCCAAAGGGCAGCAGCCATGCCAAGACGAGTGCACTGTATTATGTGCACTAGTGGCACCGTGGTGGTGGGTCTGCCGTCCCTCTGGAAAAACAGGCACCCACAGCGACTGATACCATAGCCTTCATCAGACCAAGTTACTGTCAAATCAGCCCATACCAACAGCCTGCTCTCATTCCCATTGGGCTTTGGGTTGTTCTTACCTCTCCCTCTCTTTTTCCTGTGCATACACACACACATACTAAAAATGCATGCAATCCGCTGTTCATTAAGTGTAATTTCTTAGGTTTTACTTTCTAGCAGGCATCCTCTGCAGCTGCCAGCACTTCCTCAGGTTTAAATGTGCCTTTCACTTTGGCCACTGCAGAAAGAGGAGACTTTTTCCAGCCAACCAAATGAACTGAATCGTCAGACCGTAACATGCAGCTTCACCTATAGTAGCAGCACTGACACACAGGGAAATCAGAAACTCAGTGCAGCCTGTTGGCTCTTGGTGTCAAAGAATAACTCTGCTTGGACTCACAAAAGGAGCAATTTTTCCTTTGAAAAATTCTCTCTCCTATTTCTTTGATGCCCATCTGCAATCAGTATTCAAGCACATAAATCTGAGCGATCCCCAAAAACAGGTGGTAAGAACCACGTGGAACAAAAAGCTCTGTTTGTGCACCTCTCCCATCCCTCTTACATCCCGCATCCAGATGCTCCACTAGCAGGTGCTGGGAGGTGTTCTCCTGCTGAGTGGGAGCAGCAACATGACAGCTTATCTTTACACACCGTCTTCAGTGTCCAGCTGATCTGGGAAAGAGCTGAACATCAGGCACATTCCCAGGCACTCTGCCAAGCTGGGGCCGAAGGGTAAACAGAACGCGATGTGCAGGACGCAGTGTGTCTTTTAAAAAGAACGACACCAGGTGGTCAATGAAATGATCCAGGAGAGGGGTCTGTGAGCGAACATTTCAAGTTCTGCTGTAGCACCTTATGAAGTGTATAGAGACCTGTGACTTTGGAGTGGGCTGCATTCTGGGAGAGCCACGTCGGATGAGATGTTGAAAATTCTCCATCTCCTCCGCAACCGCTGGCGAAACCACTGTGGCACTGAGAGCCACACTGCCAGTCCTCCCTACCAAAACTCACTTCCAGTACGGCTAAACAGCAAATTGCCACCAACAGATTTATTTTGTTCTTTAACTGAAGCCGCCTGTAACGCAGCGTGCAAACCCTAACGAAAGGCATTTGTACGCCAGTGCGGGTCGATACCATAGTTTAACACAGAGCAGCTTTGTGTAGGGAGAACAAGGATCCTGCAGTGTGCTGTTAGGGCTTGAGCTTCCTATGGCCAGCCCCGGATCTCTGTTCTGTGTTAATAAACTGCTGCTGTAATCTGCACCAGGGTGGTCCGGCGAGACGGCAGCCGTGGGACAGCTCGGAGGGGAAGCGCCGCTTGCAAAGTTCCCCCACTTATCTGGCCTCTTTGCATGAACAATGCTGGCAAAATCACCCATGCGTATCACGGAGCTCTGGAAGTCATGCTGCATCTCTTAGGTTTCACGCTGCTTGCTTTAAAGACTCAGTGGGCAAGAAAAGAGCTCTGCTTCTCAAAGAAATAAGCTCCCTTATACCCAAGAGATAGCTGGCACAGAAGCTGCACCCCTTCAGCAGCAGCTCCAGAAGAGCTGTGGGGTATCATGAGGGTTTCTTGTGCACAGGAAGTCACCCTGCCATACAAGCTGATGTTCCAGCAATTTCCCTTTGGCTTCATCAGTCTCTTAGCTACTTCACAATATACACTTCTAAAATTTGAACTCAGAAATTAGAATTCAAATGTCATAAATTTCCATGCCTTCATCCCTACCTTTTCCAACAGAGAAGTGTGTTTGTTCTCTCAGAGGTCACAAACTGACAGCTTGGCACCTGATGGAGGAGACTGCAGATCCAACATCATTAGAAGGAGCTTGGGGAAAGGGAGACATAGCAGGAACTGCTTGGGATTTACTTTGCAAAAGTCCAGTCCAAAAGACCATCAGTGGTATAAGGGAAATTAATTTCTTTTCACCTGTCTGGAAAGGAAACATGGGCTTTTATCCCGCTTGGTTAGCGCAAAATTTTCTACAAGTTTAAGTACCACAACACAAAGCTTTGTGAGGAGGTGTGAAAATGATCTGTTAGTTTATCTGTTAATTGATTTACCCAAACTAAGCAAGCTCTCATTTGCTTGCTTGAGCACTGTGCTGCTTCCCTCAGCATACATGGAGAGCGAATCAAGCCTCCCAGTTCTCAGAATCCTGTAGCTGCAGTCAGCCTACCCTTACCTGCCTTCTTCTCCCTTGGGAGGGCAAAGGAAACCACCAAGCCTCTTCAAAGCCAGACACCAGGCAGAAGGGAGGCAGAAACCACAGTGAACTAGATAATTTATAGGATCAGGATCAGCAATGGCAATACACAGCCAGCTGTGCCTTTAGTTACTATTTTCTTACCTTTTTGTTCCGTCCCTTCCTCTTCCCACTGCTTGGTTTGCATCCTCAGGCTGTGGGGTTTCCCCTATTTTCAAAGGAGTAGCAGAACAGCAGTGTAAGTTCAATACATGCAGTGGAGACTCTCCAGAAGGTTCATAAACCTTTCACTACGCTGGCCAGAGCTTTCAACCAAAGGGCCAGAAAAAAACTTGTCTGCTTTCTCATTTCATAAGGAGATTCTACACAGTTCTAGCACTGGCATTGGAGACAGACCTTTTGAAGTGGTTTCTGGGCATGTGTTTTCTGTTTATTTTCTAATAAAAGAGAATCATATGCACTGAGTTTTCTAAAAAGCAATCACCCAGGGAAAAAGCTATAAAAACTGTAAAAGTCCCTGACGCTTTCTGTTAGCACTGCATTCAGACTGCTTTGTTTACAAATGCAACCAACCTGTTATTTAATTGACTTTTTTTTTTAGGAAATAAAATCTGGGAAAGTTTATTGCTCCGCTATGGCAAATATGTTTTCTGAACAACAAAGGGGACTGTGATCACTTCTACTGACATCCAGACATCTCAGAAGTGGTTGAGAGAATGTTTCTCGGTTTGCAGAGGGACTCATCATGGGTCATACACTGCTCCCACTGAAATGTGCAGTTGCATTCCCACCAATGTCCTGAGGAGGAAGAACAAGAAGTACTCCTGCCAAAAATCTTAGCGTTTTCACACCACGATAGACAACCTCAAGTCTCTTCAGTTACCAGTCACTTTTCAACAGCACCATCACAGCAACAAAGTGCAAGACTTTATCAAAACACTCCAGAAACCCACGACAGCTGCCTTTATCAGTGCCCACAGCTGACTGCATCTTACCCAAGCACTCTCCTTTCAGTTAATTTAATCGTCATGTGCTTTTTCCTTTTTCCTCTCACTTCTGAGACCTCCAAGGGCTGCCTGGGCAGGGAGCAGCCTCAGAGATAAGCTCCACAAGATGCAGGTCAGGTCTGCACCACCCTCACCTTACCTTTACTGTCTCCAGTATCAACATGTTATCTGCTGGAATCTCCCCTCCCCACCTTTCTCTCCACCAGCACCACAAAACTCTCCTTTTGCTGTGATGAAGAATGAAAACCAGACATGCCATTTCTGGCTTTTTTTCACAAGGAAACCTTCCATTGCCCATTGCTGTTCCCTGTCAGCCCCTTTTGTTGCCCTATTGGGGTGGTGGATTGAATGTGGTGCTCAGGGATGTGGTTTAGCAGAGAGCTGCTAGAGTTAGGGTAGTATGGTTAGGTTGTGGTTGGACTTGATGATCTTTAAGGTCTTTTCTAACCTGAGTAATTCTATGATTCTATGATTCTATTAACACGTACCTATTTCAGAGGTACAGGCTGCCCTCACAGAAGTGGAGATTTAGGTAAGAACTGTGGAGCAGGGATGCTGTGTGCAATGCAACAAGGATCTAGATAGGGAAAAAATTAAGACTAAAATAACTGTACAAATGTGTTCCCTATAGTATGTACGAATATTTCTGCAGAACAGAGGGTAGTCCCGAGCGTGAAATTGTCCAGAAGAAGAAAGTGAGGGAAGGAGAAGGAGACAAAAGGAAGAGATTTATAAAAGAAAGGGGCATTTAAAACTACAGTGGTGGAGCAGCCTATAGTGAAACTTAAACATCAGCCTGCAGTAAAGTCTGTGTAATAGGATCTCCCAGCTCTCAGGGAGGTTTCAGCTCCCCTTCCCAGGCCTATCTCTTCGACCTTGCCTCTGTCACATAAACGAACAGAAATGAACATATGTTTTTAAGTTTGTTTCTAAAATAACCAGAGCGAAGCAGAAATGCTGCACTGCCCACACCAGGCTCTCCTCGGGGGAAAGCGGAGAGAAAAACCATGCGTGCTCGTCACACCAGATGAAGTGCTACAACGACAAGGGTTTATACAAAACAGAGCTAAAGAATGGTCTGTGGGGTGCCAGCTGCAGCATGCCACAGCTCCCAGCCCAGCCTTGCTGGTCCCTCGGGCATACATCAGCCCTGTGGTGCGGAGGTCACCAAGCGCCTGGTGGGGACGTGTCCACCACGGTGGGGTTGTGTCACATCCCACAGTGTGCAGGGCTGAGGGTGGGCACTGTGGGTGGGCTGTGCACAGGCTGCATGCAGGGGCAGGATATTGCTGCCTTAGGCTTTGCTGGCCCTTCCAAGACAGAGGTAGGTGGGCTCCAGGTGCTGAGGATATGCTTCCGTCCTTCAAAGGATGCTAGAGAAGCTCAAGGGTTGCCTTGATTGGCTCCTTCCTCAAAAGCAAGGATCCTGGAGCTTTAATTGCAATAGCAAAAACAAAAATAAAAACAAAAATAACAAAACAAAAAAAAGGTATCGAGAAGAGACATGAATGACAAGAGATAAGGCAGGAGACTAAGTGTGGATGAAATCAGCTGCTTCCCAAAGAGGCAAGAGAGATCAAAAAGAGAGTGTGCACACATTTCATCCTGATTGATCCCAACAAAAGTAATTTCTGTTTCAAAATCAAAATATGAAGGTAAGCACCAGAATGAAGAGATCTGGTCTTAAGAGCTTCTTCTTATTGTATATTATTCCACAAATTTATAGCCCCAGGGATAACCTTGTGCCTTGGAGAGGGAGACAGGAGAGCACAGAGCTCAGGCAGTCTCTTAGTCCCAGTCTGTCACCACCCTGGGCTACATATAACTCAAAGCAAATCCTATGACCCAGCATCAGTGAGTCCTTTAATTCCTCTACATATTTCCGATGTTGTTGCAAGTACACCTTTACCTGCAAAAGCCAACTGTGACTGTATCTACATTCATTTTTCTCCTTTCTGCCCCAAACCTTGAGTCCTGCAGAGCCTTTTCATTTCACGGAGCTGCTTCAGGCTAATGTTCTCCATGGAAGAAATAGGGCACGTCCACAACAGGTAGAACAATGTCAATTTGGGTTTTCGTCTCCCTGAAATTCAGACACACAGGCTATTCAGTAATTATTATTATGTTGCCAAAGGCATTCTCTCATTTGTCAATATGGAGACTTGACAGTTTTCAGAAATGACAGCAATAGGACAAGAAGGAATGGTTTTAAACTAAGACGGGAAGTTTATGTTAGATAATAGGAGGAAGTTTTTCACACAGAGAGTGGTGACACACTGGAACAGGTTGCCCAAGGAGGCTGTGGATGCCCCATCCTTGGAGGCATTCAAGGCCAGGCTGGATGTGGCTCTGGGCAGCCTGGTCTGGTGGATGGTGACCCTGCACATAGCAGGGGTTGAGACTAGATGATCATTGTGGTCCTTTTCAACCCAGGCCATTCTATGATTCTGTGATATGACTTTCCAAAAGACACATCAAACTGGAAGGAGGACTCAAAACCTCCTAAAACATCACTTACAGAGACCGTGAATATGACTTAAAATACATTTACAAATGAAAAAAAAAAAAAAAAAAAAAAAAAAAAGCTGGAAAAAGTAGTTTTCCTTTTTGGAAAATTTTATTCCTTCTTCTTCCCACAACAACATGTGCTTAACTTGAATTGTCATCACAGTATACAGCCAGCATCAGAGAGCATACATTGCTGTTTTGTTTTGTTTTGTTTTTGCAAAATTATTAAAAGTTTCAGGATTGAGTATTTCAGAAATGCTTTGCCAAAAATGGGAAGAAAATATCACGAAACAATTTAAAAAGCTCAAATTGGCAATGTCTTCAATTGGTTTTAAAACACTTAATAAAAGTTTAGTAATACAATCCTATCCTAGGGCCATTATTAATCTATTATGGCTATGAGAGATCCTAAATAACCTGTGGAAGCTAGAAAAGAACATATTGTTCTTTATTGATGTTGACTAAAGTAATTACAGAAGATTTAATAAATCATCTCAGAAAAACGAAGTTGTTGCAAGCTCCCCTTTCTTGTTATGACAGGCAGCCCGTGAGTTATTCTGGGTCCATCCCTAGCTCTGCTCCCCCTGCTTTTCCACTCTTACGCAAACAAGAAATCGCTTATCTGCCTCCACTTCTTAATCACCACCATTTGAATTGCAGAGATGCTACAGGAGGGTTTTGGGCAAAGAACAGCGTCTGCCTCATGGCACAAGATGGCACAAAGCATGGGAATGTGGCAGGATGAGGGAATAGACCTTTAATGAGAGGCAGATAGTTGATCAGTTCATTAAACCTGCTAATGAGCTTCAAATGTGCAAGGTGGTCTGGAAGACTAGTGATAGGCTGGCAATGCTTGGCAGAATTCGGTAAGCGTGTTACACAATACACTAGGAGATTTCCCAATCTTACAACATGCACGTAAACATCAAAAATTCAGTGGCGACATGGGAAAGAGAAAAGCAGATTGATCTGTTTTTCACCTGCACGGCAAATCAGACGAAAAGAATGGCTGCTCTCAGCTGAGAGGTCCTGGGAGGACAAAGTAGGACAAACCCTTTGTGGTCAGCAAGCAGCACACTGGTAATCACAGAATATCCTGAGCTGGAAGGGACCCAGAAAGATCATCAAGCCCAGCTCGTGGCTCCACACAGCACCACCCAAAATCCAAACCCTATGTTTGAGAGCAGTGTCCTTGAGCTCTGGCAGTCAGGGCCATGCCTACTTCCCTAGACAGCCTGTTCCATGCACAAATAACGTGGAATAGGAAGCTGAGTGCAGTTGTACATCCAGCCAACCAGATTAACCCTCTTTCCATGACACACAGAAATACAGAGAGCTCTTCCTGCACCTGTGGGCTCCCGCCCACACAAAACCAAGCTCTCTGGTCTCTTACAGTGTTCTGGCACATTTTATAAAGCATGCAGGTAAAACAAAATGCACCAGTGGGCTGCTTGAGACCCAACCCTTCCAGATACCCTGTTTTTACTTACAGAAGGTGTTTCCCACTAGCAGGAGACACCAGTAAAGCCCACAGTGTTACTCATTTTTAAAGCATTCCCAAAGAATACCTGCAAGCAGAGAAACCACCACGCTGTTAGGCTTTACCTTCAGGAATTTCTTTGTGATCCATTTCCTCCTTCTAACATTGGCTCTGGGGCAGGTGAAATGTGCTTCCTTTAAGGAAGAGCCTCCGTGGAAGAGATGTGCCGCTGGAAGTGCTGTGAGCAAGCAGGCTGCACACTTTGGCAGCCTCATCTCCAAGCCTGTGTTGCTTTCACCTTGTAAAAGAGTACAAGGTATGGGGAAAAGTTCTTATTCCTTGTTTTTTTTTTTTAATCTCACCAGGTGTTGTGCCATGGAAACCCTTGTTGTGTTTTTGCATGTTGTCCCAATTGTAGCAAAGGTGCCAGTGTGGCTCTGCTGCAATTAGTCAGACATGTCTGCCCGTTGCTGAAGGCAAGGAAAGAAACAGTATGCCAGTGAGACTCTTAATACAGAAAACATCTGTTTATTCAATACAAGGAAATAAAATGATAGTTCACCACAGCTGAACTAGAAGACCTAATGCACAGCCCTAAGGTGGACCCAAGAGATACATGTGATAGGTTATGTGAGGGAAACTCAGGAAAGAAGTGCTGCATGAAGGTAAGGTGAGCTCAGTATGAGCTCTGTATGAACTGGAAGCAAGGAAAAGCTCAAGTCTGGGGAAAAAGCTAAGATCTGGTGGTGCTTTCACCATGTCCTAAGAGCATGATTTCAAGTAGAATCATAGAATCACAGAATAGCCTGGGTTGAAAAGGACCACAATGATTTTCAACTCCTCTTCTATGTGCAGGGTCGCCAACCACCAGAGCAGGCTGCCCAGAGCCACATCCAGCCTGGACTTGAATGCTTCCAGGAATGGGGCATCCACAACCTCCTTGGGCAGCCTGTTCCAGTTTAAGAAATAACCTTGGTCCTAGTGATATCACTGGCAAAACACTCTGGAGTGAAGCCACAATCTCACCTATAGCAGAAATGGCAAGTACCAGCATAATAAAAGCTATCACATGCTACATAACCCTCCCACCTCCAACTTCCGATCATTGGGCTGCAGATGATGAATAACTACTTGTATGTAACAACATACTTGCGAGGCCTTCTTCCCCATCCCCTCCTTCAGTCCTTTTGCCAGGGACTACCAAGAGCTAGGCACAACATGTGAGGTATTTTCCACCAGCACTGGGTAGTAGCACACTGGAAATCCTCAGGTCAAGTTCTGGATTTACAGGATGCCAAAGGAAAGATACTTCTATCAGATGGATCAAATAGCCAGTCAGGCTAAATGAGGTGAGATATGAGGACACTCACTTGGAACCAAAGGTTAATGCCTTCCTGCATGATGAGGGCAGGTATCTGAGGAGTCCAGAAGCCACCATGCAGCTCCTGACATTTGTCTGGGGGAGCTGAGAGAAGGTGTTCACCAGCTTCAGGCGTGTGCCATAGCAGACAGTCTGGAACAGGAACTGAGATACTGCTGCTAGAAGAAAGTGATACCATCAGTAAATAGACCCACGAAAAGCTAAGCCACTTTTGTTTGATTAATCGAAGACTCAAAATGAAGAATGAGGGCAGTGCCTGGTGGACAGCCATGCACAGAATCACTAATCGCGGAATCACAGAATGGCCAGGGTTGGAAGGGACTTGAATGATCACGAATCTCCAACTCCCCTGCCACACGCAGGGCCACCAAACTCCCCCTTTAATACTAGACCAAGCTGCCCAGGGCCCCATCCAACCTGGCCTTGAACACCTCTATGGATGGGGCATCATCAACCTCTCTGGGCAGCCTGTTCCAGCACCTCACCACTTTTACAGTAAAGAACTTCCCTCTGACATCCAACCTAAACCTTTCCTCCCTCAACTTAAAAACATTTCCCCTTGTCCTGCTGTTATCTACCTTTTCAAAGAGTTGATTCCCCTCCTGTTTGTAGGCTCCCTTTAGGTACTGAAAGGCTGCAATGAGGTCACCCTGCAGCCTTCTTTCCTCCAGGCTGAACAAGCCCAGCTCCCTCAGCCTGTCTTCATAGGGGAGGTGCTCCAGCCCCCTGATCATTTTTGTGGCTCTCCTCTGGACTCTCTCCAACAGCTCTCTGTCTTTCTTGTACGGGGGGCTCCAGACCTGGATGCAGTGCTCCAGATGGGGCCTCATAAGAGCAGAGTAGAGGGGGACAATCACCTCCTTGTCCCTGCTGGCCACCCCTCTTCTGATGGGTAAAGGACCAGTGTTCATGCTTATACAGCATCCACTGCAGATACTCTCAGCTCCAACACCCTAAGCAAGAGGAGAGTCAGATGTGGAGCCAGCTCCTAGCACAGGATCCACACCAGCATGTGCTCAAGGTAACACCACACCTCCCCGGCCCCATGCCAGGCCCAACACACACAGGGATGAGAATGGACAGAGGTGGCCGTGGCAGGGCCAGTCACAGGCACAGTGGCACAGTGCTGAAGGCAGTGGGAGGATAATGCTGAGCAGCTGCTGGCATTCCGTGTACGCCCAGGAGCCATCCAACTCAGTGGTCGCCTGACTTTTCCAGCATTACTCAGAGTGATGGAACAGCGTCAAGGATACCTAGGAATTTCCCTTTTATCACAGCTGTAGCCACAGCGCGTTTATAGGAAGCAGAAGGGTAAGCGGCCCAGCCGTCAAGTATTTTCCTAATTCTCTCCACAGGCGCAAGTGGTAGCCACATTTTCTCCCCCTCCTCGTGCTCTCCTTACGGATCTAACAGAAGTGCTGGAAAAATTCGGTTTTGCTGCTTTCTAGGTCTTGCAGAGAAGGGTTTCAGCAAACACACACGTGTATCACGCTCCCAGTACTGCAGAGCTGCAAGGCAGGCACAACCTGAAAGCAAACTTTAGGCCTCCGAGGCAGCACTCACCCAGAACTAATCCTTAGCAGGCAAAAATAATTTAAATAAACCAGAACATGTCGCTTAAGTGTTCCATTGTTTGCAAAGCAGTTGACATGCAAGAGTGGGAGCCAGGAAAAAGTGTTTGCACAGAAATTCCCAAGCAGGCCCATTAGAGTGACTGTTATCCCGGCTGCAATCATGCACATTATGCAACAAACACGATCAAAGGGAAAAGATCAGGAACGCTCCCATGCGAGCAAACCCTTGGCCACTGTGAGAGGGAATTACCCAGCAATATAAGGTAACACTCATCTGGTTGGGTGTCCTTGAGAGCTCTATCATGGTGCATGGGAAGATAATTAGAAGCTGAGACTGAGGATTAAATAGATGCTGCAGCATGGTGGGTGCTTTTAGTTCGGGTTTGTTTGGTGGGTTTTTTTTTCATAGAAAAATATTCTCAATCTCAGTTTAGAACATTTGTTTCCACACTGAACAAAGTGGTAAGAAAAAAAATGAAAACCCTCACTTATATTTATTTGTTGGGGGTAAGAAGAGAGACTGGAATTTTCTTTTTAGACGTATTTGTTGATCACACTGAGTGAGGAAAAAGGAAAAGAAATATCAGCATTAAGACGTGCTACCAAAACCTCTGTGCTAAATGGTTGTAAATACACATTACAAATAGCTGCTCCACAAGCATGACAGATGCTGGTTCATGCGAGTTATTAAGGGACTAGGCTGAAAATACGCAGGCTTTAAGACCAAGTTTTAAGAAATTTTAACTAAAAACACGTGGAGAATGTGCAGATGATCTCACGTGGCGAGGCACAGCTCCTACAGAATGTAGAAGCAGTGTGGCAACATGCTTTTTTTTTATCTCATAGAGAAACATTTTTAATCTAACGCTATTATCTCATGGAGAAACACAAGCATAATTATGGCACTTCCTATTTTCCTACAGGTCACCCACCTCTAGAAACTCACTAATCTAATCTACAGTGTATAAGCATGCCTGAATATACAAGAACTGAGAGGATGCTATTTTTAACACCATCCCTTGTCCAAAACTCCAGCCTGCTGACAACAGGAAGGCAACCCACAAATCTCAGAGAAAACATGAAACCTCAAGCTCCATCCTTTCCAGTCAACAAATCCTTCTTGTTCCCATCTTTTGACTTGTGAGAATTGGGGAGGTTACATTCAAAGAGAGTAGCCTCTTTACCTTAACAGACTACTGACGAATTTTGTTCAGGTAAGGGGCCACTAAGCATTTTCTTTACCCAAGACTTTTGTTATTTTTTAACAATAAGAAACCTCAGATGCCTGATCGACTTTTCCTTCCAAAACTTGTACTGTTCTTTTCTTTTTCTTTCAATTTTTGATACGTGTGTGTATACAGAGGAAACAAAGCATTGAAGTTGAAAATGCTGCTCTTGAAAACCCTATTCTCTACCACATTGGTTTGACCATAAAACTACACCATCAGCCCAGGAATGGTGAATTCACCTCAGCTGTGTCATAAGGTGTTTCTGCATGTCTTGCAAGCCCTGCCAGAGGCTGCTGGCTGGTGCTGAGATGATGGTGATTCTGCTAAGGCCAGGCTGAAACCTCACTGTTTTTGTTTCCTAGAGAAAGAGCTGAGATCACATCTGCATCTTATAAAAGCTCCCGAATAGCTGCTGATCAACAACAACCGGCAGCCAAAGCTTTGCCTCGAGAAACTTGCATTGTTTTTCAGTGGGAGTTGCTAGATACCGAGTCCTCGTAAAAAGTCTGGTGAAGTCATCTGAGCTCTGAAACGGGACTCTGCTTCCTTGAGCAGCTAGCATTAATTGCCGCTAAGAACTGCCTGCGAAGAGCTCAAGAGCTCGAGGCTGCGTCGTTTTGCTTCCTTTGTTCTTTAGAGGATACTCATCAGCGATCCTAAAGACAACAGCATTTCTGGATGTTGTGAAAGAAAGCTATTTCAAACCAGTAACTAAGACATAAATGGGAGAAAAGTGTGATCATCTGCTTTCTCAGCTGTCACTGCTCTGTGCACATGCCCATGCCAGGCACCCTGGGCAGAGCAGTGCTGGGCTTTATTCAGATCGCGTGCAGCTCCAGTGCCACACCAGATGATGAGCTGGTTGTGCTGAGCAAATGAGCAAGCTGTGCTGGAATAGGGGGAGTTATTGTAAAATGGGGTTTGGGGGTGAGACAGAGTGTAGGAATGCAGGGGTAGTGGAGCCTCCTCGTGGGATACCTGGAGCTGGATAGTGAGTGCCCTGAATGCCCTCTGCCACATGACATTCTCCTCAGCTCATCCCACTTCCATCTCACTTAATGCTGTTCTCTGCTGGGAACACAGCAGAAGTAGGACTGTGGCTCAGAGCTGCAGCTGGCATCGGCATGCTCTATAATCGTTGTACTTGTGAGTATGAAGAGAGATCAGAGCTTCTGCTGTAGCCTGCCCATAGCAGCCAGTTACATGGGAGCACTGAGGAAGGTACACCGGGTTCCTTTCCTCCTGCCACAAGGAAATGCCTGCACGCAGGTACCCACAGCCTGAGAAACCACGAGATGCCTGCTCAGCAGGTCCACATTGCTGGACCTTCAGCCTCAGCTTTGCACTTGGTCACCAGCTGCTTGGCAGGTCCCTATCAGCGAAAGTGTAATTTTTTCCATCTCCAACGTGCAGGTGTCCTAAGTGACGTAAGGGACTCTCCCAGAAGGGAGTTCTTTGCTCACATCCCAGCCTTGAGAGCCACCACCATTTCCCCAGACTCAAGCTAGCGTGCACCTATAGATCTCCAGGACCCCGCGAAGATTGCTTGCGTGATAGATGCTCCCCTTTGACTCGCACACGGGGGGTGTGGGGGAGGGGCTGGCAGCCTCCCTCGGGGCTCCAGACGGGTTAGGGGTATCCAGGGGCCCCCGGCAGCAGCCGCGTGAGCTCCTGGCCGGGGCGGTGCGCGGGGACCGCCGGTGGCCGCGGAGCCGGGGCGGGGCGCGGGGCGGTGCGCGACGGGGCGCGGTGCAGGGCCGCGGCGGGCACACGTGGCTCGGCCCCCCAAAAAGACGCTCCCCGCCGGCTGCAGAGAGCAGTTCGCACCTCGGGTCTCGCACGACAGCCGTCTGTACAGTGCGCTGCGGAGGGATCCGCGGGGCGGCTGCGGAGGCGGCCCCGGGCTTGGGGAGGCTCTACCTGGCGGCAAGATGAGTCTGACGGCCGAGAGCCACCGCGTCCCGCTGAGCGACGGGAACAGCATCCCGCTGCTGGGGCTGGGCACCTACGCCGACCCCCAGAAAGTAAGTCCGGGTCCGGGCGTCCCCCGCAGGTGACGGCAGTCCCCGCTGCACAGTCCCGAGCCGGGGCTGCGTTCCCCTTCTTCTCTACCACTTCCCAGCTCGTTTCTTCTTTCTGCTCCTTTCCTCCGCAAACTTAAAAAGCCCGATTGCGCCCGTTAAGAGTGCCGGCAAGTGAGAGGCGCGCAGAGGACGAAAAGGTGGGAAAATAAAAATCCCGTCGAGTTCGCGCTGCGCGGTGCCCTTCCCCGCAGAATGGGGTTCGGGGCGATGGGGACGCGCACCCCCGGGCAGGGGGCTCCGATCCCGGTGTTCCGATCCGCACCTCGTCTCAGGCGGGCACGCCGAGTTTCGGGTCCCCCAGGCCGGCCCCGCTGCAGATAAGATGAGGGATTTCGGAGCGTCTCGCAGCTGGCCCCGACACTTTCCAAGGAATGTTCCTAAAACAAAGCCCCAAATTCCTGCATCTTGATTCCTGCAGCTCCCACAGCTGAGTGCCAGCGGCCAAACCACTCTCAAATGTTCTGCATCCCTCGGCGCTGTGCGTCCCGGGCAGGCGTCCCGTGGAACTGTCGCATTTGGCGCTGCGTCGGGGCGGTGGGAGAACACCTGATGCTTCTTCCTTTTGCGCACCTGGGAGTATGAAGGCAGCTCGCTGGTCTCGCTCCCGAAGGATCGATCCTCTCGTTCCCTTCTGTTTGTTTCTTTGTTTAAAGAGTAGAAACAGTGAGGCTGGCCAGAGCCCTTCTTGTGTAACAGTATCAGCGTCGAGATGCAATATTCTGAGCGACTCCACACGCCGCAGTGCATTTAAAAATGCCTTCCTAGAGACAGCTCTCAATCAGCAACAAGTAAACGTACCGTTGTGCGTTACCAATAATGGCAGAGGACTTTAACAGAGGCTGCTGCAGGCAGCGCAGGAGTGGAGCAGAGGGCTGTGAGAGGTCCCAGCGCTGCCCATTTCCCCGCTGAGCACCACGGGCTCATGCAGGGACAACCAGTGGGAATCTGTGATTTCAGACGCTGGGCACCATCCTTCCCCTGCATCCCTGAGGTTTCTGGGGATATTTTTAGCGAGTGGTGTTCCTTGAACAAGGGTTAGCGGAACAAAATTTAGCTCTCCAGCAGGAGCTTTTGTGTAGCAGGGGAGCATGTTGCATAATTTGGTGACAAAATAGCTCTGAGTAAACTTAAAGCATCTGGCTCCAGTCCTGTGCATCGGCATGTCCCCAAGCCCTACGCTTGCAGTCTTGTGGGTTCAAAGCTGGTGGGTGAGGCTGCTGGCAGGAGCAGTGCCCCAGAAGAGCAGGCAAATGAATCATTTGTAGGTAAGGGGGTTCCAGCCCCGGGCTGCTGGCTTTTTGCACGTGCCTTCATAGCAGAATGGGGGTTGGGACAACAAAGCAGGGCCCGGCTATGGCAACCCCCATTTGGAGCAATTGCAGCTGCTGGTGGCTGCACCTCCGGTGGGGGATGGGGCTGCGTCCCAGCACCCATTCTCCCTTCCCTGGCACTTGTAGGAGTTTGATTCTCTGAGCTGTATCTTTGCACGGGGTAAACATGATAGAAAGTTACGGGTGGGAGTAGGAGATGCTAAGGAATTGCAGAAAGCCCGCTTTCCCAGCAGACCAGGTGAAGCACGACATGCTGATCTGCAGCGTTGGGCTGCAGCCTTGAGCCTGGGTTGGGATTGGGTGTTGGATGTGGGAAGGTGCCAGGGAAGGCAGCTGGGGAAGCGTGGTCGCAGGGTGCCACAGAATGTGCTGCAGAAGTGTTCACAGCTGCTGAGCATGGGGCAGGATGAACACAAGGGTCATGGCTCAAAAAGGCTGCCTTGCTGATAGTAGAGCTCATGTCAGCATCTTGCCACAGTGATGAAGAGTGGCTGAGCTGCGACAAGCTGCTCTGCTGAGCGCTGATTGTACCTGGCATGGCTTCCAGCGGGGTGCCCAGTTGTGCTCCCATCCTATGCCTCCTGCTTAGAGAGCTGAAAGGAGCTGTGGCAGTGAGGAGCCCTGCAGGGTTTACCTTAGCAAGCAAGGCTATGAGCTTGCACTGGAGCGTCTCCCTTAAAATCCTCAGCTGCAGCCTTTCCTGGCTGAATTGCTTAAGCAGCAGCCTCTGAGCCACCCGTTCACCGCAGCGGAGGCAGGCAGCGGGTGGCAGTGATGGTGCCAGCAGTAACCAGCACACTATTTCTGCTTGTGAGTCAGATCTCTGTGACACGCTGCCATTCTGTGCTTTGATACAGATCGCGGAGCCGCTCACTTGTCAGCTTATTCATCTTGCTCTTGGAGGCAGACTTCTTCCAAAGGTTATTCACCCTGGCATCTCTGTGTCAAACTGCCTGGTCCAAAATAAATCTGTTTTCTCAATCTTGAGCTGCAGCCTGGTAGCTTGTAACGAGCCCAGAGCGCCCTTCCTGGAGTGCAGAAATGCTTGCACTGGTTGAGCAAACCAGGCGTATCTCATTAGCCACAGAGCAGGGAAATGGGCTCTTCCGACAGTCAGTTACAAGAAAATGGGCAGGAGGACAGCTTTGGTGTTTCAGGCTTTGTTTGGGTAAACTGCACTGCACAGCAGTGCCTTCAGAATTGAAATGTGTCAGCAGCTCGCCTGCTCATCTTAAATGACTTTATTGTTCTTTTAAATACTCTTTTGGAAGATAAGTCACACTTCTGCAGTTGTGAAACACCAAGGAAAAAAAAAAAATCTTTGGCCAGTATTCGGTCCTGTGTGTAAGTTTACTGATTCAGTGAAGCACATCGCTCGGCTGGAGCAGCACTGCACCATTGAGAAAGGGTCTGTTTGATGATCACATTACTTTTATAGAAAACTCCTTACCCCCGGTACAGGAGACCTTTTTCTTCTGGCCAGATGTTTATCTAATTCCTTGAGACTGGCAGTGCTGGGGGGAGGGGGTGGTTCTTTCTGTTTTATTCTCCCAGCACAGCAGGAAAATGCAATGACTCCACTTGCCGTAATACATCTCTCAGCAAGAATATTCACTGGCTGTAACAACTAGTGATAAATTCGGATTTAAAAAAAAAAAGAAAGAAAAACACTTAGAAATCACTTTTGCTGCTTAAATTGATGTTTCCTAATATCTGTATCAACAACGTATTCCAGTGCATTAAGGTTGGCTCTGTGTTCTCCTTCTCTGCTCTCACAGGGAAGGAAACGAGTAGTCTTGCCTACCAATAAATCCCAGCAAGAAAAATCCATCGTTGACTCCTGCTTTTCTCTCTTCTACTCTCCCACGTCCCTTCTCTTGATGGTTTTGGGAGGGAATCACAGTGGGACCAGTGAGTTTGGGCTGTCAAGACCCTCCAGAAGGCTCTACAAGGTGGGGCCAATTCTTCTTCTTTCTGACTGCATGGACCTTCCTAACAAAGCTCCACACATGCAGGAGTGGTTTTGCAAGGGCTGCACATCCCTCTTTCCCTCCAGAGGCCCCCAGGCAGCCAACGCAATTCCTGGGAGAACAGAGAGGCTGGGGGGTGGGAGGGAAAGGGAAGCCCCAAATGGGGTGGGAGGGAACACAAGGTTTGCCCTACAAGAGATAGGGCAAACCTTGTGTAGCTGCAGAGCTGGGTCATCCCCTGCACAAGAACTCAGTTCCCAGTGAGGCCAGTGAGCAGGACCTGAACCCAGCAGGGAGCAGATGGCGAACGGAGCTGAACAGGAGTGGAGGAGAAAGGTGTGAAAAAAGCTCCTAAATCCTGGAAATCCTACACCTCATTAAAACTACACTTACACCCATTTCACTTTATAACTCATCCCTTTCAGCGCAGCTAGGATCACCAGCACGGTGCCTCCGTGTAAATAATCACTGTCTCTCTGGAAGGTCAAGGGGGCCTTGGCCACAGACCCTCTCTTGCCTTCCTGTTTTTACTGAGGGAGGAGAAGGCTTGGAGGGAAGGTTGTGGCAACCACACTGTACAAGAGGCATTGCTTCTGAAACATAAGATTGGGCAAAGCGCTCAAGTATAGTGCTGGGTGAGGGCTTCTGGCAAGTTGCAACTTCTTTGCTGAAAATGAGATTCTGAGGTAGCCAAAATCCATTTATGAATTGGAAGCAGTTTTGTGGAATAGTTTCAGGCAAAACAAATGGCAAAGCATTTGATTTTGGGCACTGGCAGTACAAGCTGAGGAATCAAAGGATTATTAAAGTAGTTGGAGGTAGTGGTTGCCTGATGAATAGCCCAAATAGCCTACTGGTTAGGGAACCCACATGCGAAACCAGATTCAATCTTCTTCTCTATCTCTGGGGACCAAATTCATATCGCACTGCCCAGAGACATAACATAATCTCGGGAGCGCGTGATAGTCTGAGAGGAGCAAGAAGAACTGCACACGCCCTGCAAGAAAGCACTCTTCCCACTAAGCCTACAGCTTTGGCTACTGAACAGCTCTGTGTGATTTCTACCAGGTAGGAGAGGGCTGTGCCCCAAGTCCTTGCCTGCCACAAAGTCACCCATGTGAGTGTGAGCCTGAGTTCTGTTTAAAAAGAAGTGGCTGTTTTGAATCAGGGAGAAGAGAAGATCACCCAGGGCTCCTGCATCCTATCTTTGTGACCAAGTCAAAAATCTGTTTTGCATAAGTAAAAACACTGTTTTGGCACCCTGAATTGCTTTTCGCACCCAAGCTAGAAGCTGAACAAAGTAACCTTTCGCTGTTCAGTACTAACAGCCCCTAGTGCTTTTGTAGGACCTTTTATGCTAAAACTTCCCCACAGAAGGGCACTCACAGCATGAAATGTTCTGATCACCAGTAATGGTGCATCTCTGGTGCAGACTGCCCTTCACTGCAGCTGGGCATAGGCTACCCCGAGGGCAAAAGAAGCAACAGCTGATTTGTGGCTACAGATAGATCTCTGAACTGCAGTATGGGGGATTACATACCATTTAATTTGCCTTTTTTCCCTCCCGGCCATCACCAACTTCTGAAACATGATCAAATGGAGACAGCAAAGATTTCAGGTGACTCACAGGAAAGTCACCTGGTTTGATCCAAAGCTATCAGACTGAGCAGGTATTGGACATCCCAGGCAGGAGAAATACCCCAGAGCTCTGGAGAGAGGGCTGAATCTCAAAGGCTTCCATTTCCCAATCTCTGTGAATTCCTCCTTCATAAATCCAAACCGCCTTTGGTCTTCATCCTGAGGTAAACCTCCCACTCTGCTGCTAGATTTTACTTGAAAGAGATAATAAAGGCAGGAGAAGGAACTGCTGTAACATGCACACATCCTAACAGCCTCAGCTCACTTCCCACAACACGCTATAAAAAAATAAAAAATACCACAGTACTCTTAACATGAACAGTTACACCCAGAGTTGTATGTGAGCTCAGCAAGTAGTGAGAGTCTGGAGTTAGGTCTGCAATGAGCCTGCACAAAATCATCGACTACACCAGGTGTAGGCCAGGGAAGTATGTTACCATTTTCGTTCTTAACAGTGATACTGGAACCCAGAGTGAAAAGGGGCTGGGGGAGAGTCAGCTGAGATAGCTGGCTATAGAGCCTCGTATTTATGCCCTGAACTTAAGAAGCAAGTAATCTTCCAGAAAAAAAAAAAAAAAGAAAAAAAAAAAAGTTGCTGAATGATGCCATTGCTGCTCAGTCTCTCAGATTTCAATGCTTATTCCTCAACTAAGTCACAGTCACTGGCAAGACCTGGTTGCCAAGAGCAGATGAAGGCAGGGTTTCTTAGTATTTGGTCTCCAGAGACAGGAACCAATGCCAGCGTTTAGCAGGCAGCAGGATGACAGGCTCTGAGGCAGAAGAGTAGCTGTTGGCTTGGAAGCACAATCAAAAGCACCGTAAGAAGTGACAGGAGAAAGAGCCTACATGAGGCTTTAAAGAGCTGCAGTGACTATGGGCTCTTATTATTGCCTGAATCATTTCCTACTGTTTGCTACAGAGATGGCAAGTATACCAAAGGATGAGGGATGACCAGAGTACTTCAGGTACTGCTTTCACAGCTCATCCTTCCCATCATCAGATGGCTCTCAACAAAATCCTGCTTTCATCACCAACTTTTGCTAAAAACCTTAGTTGCATGACGCATTTTAAAGTTCCCTATCATATATGCTTTCAATATTTGCCACCAGTGAAAAGCAGAGTTTATTTATCTGGCAGACAATCAGAGCATTTCCCACTCTGCCATACATCATCTCTGTAGCTGGAACAGCCTTTCTATATTTCTGTGACTTCAACATGTTCTCCTTGGTGCTCAGCCATGACCTCTCCTCCCCTGTCTGCAACCACCTTACGACACCTCTGTTTCTGCTAACTCCTTGTAGCCTCATGTTATACAATGGAATGCTTACGGCTTGCATAAATGCAAGATTGCATCTTGAACTCATTAAGAAGAGAAAATTGAGTCATGTAATTAGAAAAAAAAAGGTAATCAGAAAAGGAAGCCGTTTTTCTTTCTGATATGTGGCAAGCTCAGAAACTCCTATCTGTTGTGTAGAAACTGTCCTTTTACCGGTAAAGTTGGATTTGACAAAATGATTCATTGCCCTCCATCAAGTGGAAGGAAAGATTCTTGCATGCAAATTTGTTGAGGATGTAAGCTTTTTTCTTATGTCTTTTATTTGCACAAAACTGTGACTCTCAGACACTGCTGAATTCACAGAAATGCCTGTTTACTTTCCTGTGTCTTCTCTGCTGAGATCTTTGTGGCTCTTCATTTCTATGAATCATGAAGCTTAAGAGAAAACAAACTGATAGTATGACTAACCTCTGCTTCGTGCCAGCAGCTTCTGTGGTGTTTCCAGCTCTCAACACAATTAGTGTCTCATCATACGGGGCGCATTAAAAGCTGCATTCACTGAAATGATCAACATGTGAAATGCCCAATGAGGACGGGCCCAGCCTCATATATGAAGGTGAATGAAGGACTAACTTTCTAGCTACAAGGTTCATTAACCTATGAAGGATTTATGAGCAAAGCAGCCACAAAATTGCTATTTGCAGAAAACAGTAGATTCCTTACTTTGCCCTGATGAGTAGACTGTATCATTGGTTAGTTAGAGTTGCTTACCCCTCAGCCCCAAACCTGAGCACGCCTTAAACTAAATACACCCTTCTTAAAACGATAAGCCTTGTAGTCATTACTGACACAAGAGCTGCTGTGTAAAAACGAATCCATGCTCTTCCAGGAGCAGGAGACATACCCCCTGCTGCAGAGGGGAGGACCTCAGCTGATGGAGCTGATGACAGCCAGATAATCTCCTGGCCCCCATGCAGCAGTGCCTGTGTAATCCAAGCTGAAGAGCCAGCTCTCACAGCCAGCCTGGCACGGCTTCCCTTGGCTCCCAAACACGGCACCGACACACACGGAGCTGGACACCGCCTGAGAGCTCCAGAGGGAAGCGTTCCCAGAGCAAGGCAACATTGAGATGACAGTATTGGCTGGGTGCTGGTATGGCTTTTGTATGGTAAATATCAGATGCTAATATCACCCACTGAGCCGGCTGTCTGACTGTGACAGAGGTTGGAATTGCATTTAATAGGTCCAGATGCAAAACTAATAGCAGGTTAATCCAGATAAGCTTTTAGGACAGTAGCACTACCCAAAAACAGTCTTAAGGATATTTGTTTGAAGAGTAACCAAATGGGAAGCAGACCTTTTCCGTTCCATAGCTGTGCACTGCAGTGACGAGCACTAGCTGTTTCAATACATCCCTCTTCCAAAAACTACAGAGTTAGCTGTTACCAATGCAATAATGTGCAGCCCAAATATTGACAAAAAAAGATTATTTTTTCCTCTTTCTCTGGCATTCTAAAGATGTTGAATTTTTAACTCTGCTCAAGTACCTCAGGGAAAGCCCTTCCCTGTAAATCAAAGTTACGAAGACTGTTCTGCGGAAGAGGAGACAGGGAATTGCGGGCATTGTTGAAGAGCATGGAAAAACTGAACCCCTACAAGTGAGTCATCTGAATTAACACAACTGAAAGATATACTTTTTGGCAAGAACACTTAGAACCCAATTTTCCAGACAGACCTGCTCCGTTTTCTGAAACGTCCCTGAGTGACTCCATACGTTAAATGTGCCTGCGTGCTCCCATGTGCCCCTGATTCCCCGCAGTTCCCCAGAGAGCAGCATAAACATGTTCCTGCGGCTCACGCGGGAAGCCAACATCTGGGCTGCGTCTTCAGTTGACCTGGGAGGCCACATTTGTCAAAACTTGAAAACATTGTGCAGAAAATGCCTCTCTAAGCTTCAACAACGCCAACTTTTGTTGGTTCAGCTAACTAGGTGGTGGAATTCCCCAAGCTTTACATCTGCCTTTGCAAATGCTTATGCCAACTGGTGCCAGAAACCTCTCCCCTTTAA